ATATATATATATTCTCTATATCTAAGTTCTTATTCTTTAAATAATAATTATAATTATAATTATAATTTTTATTATACTAATATTATATATATTGCATATGTAATTAGGTAAATATTTTTTGGTGGATTATAGATTTCTTAATCGACGCCAATTTTTAGCTCTATTTCGAGGTGTAAGATATCATCTACAAGATTTTACAGGTTAGGGTAATGACCCTGAAAATGAAAAAGAATTGTTCAATCTTTGTCATGCATCTTTAAGGAATGTGATCGAGAGAATATTTGGTATTTTTAAATCAAGGTTCACAATTTTTAAGTCAGCACCTCCATTTTTATTTAAGACACAAGTAGAACTTGTGTTAGTATATGCAACACTACATAACTTTCTACGTAAAGAATGTCGTTCCGATAAATTTTCAATTGAAGCGGCAGATGAACCTTCATTTTTAATGTTACCAGTTAATGAAGATCATACTTTTGAGTCTATTATTCAAACCCATGAGCAAAAGCGAAAAAATGCTAATGCTTGGAGGACTAATATAACTATGGATATGTGGGTGAATGTTATTTAAGAAGATAGAATATTATGGAGAATTATTATTATTATTATTTATCTAGACATTATTTTTTTTTTTTATTTTTGTCTTTGACTCTTTTTAAATTTGAATGTATGAATTTTTTTTTTGAAATCTTATCAAATATAAAAAATCCACGAAAATTCTACAAAATCCCACAGAATCTATTAAAATTCTGATTTAAAAGTCTTGCAGAATCTATTAAAATCCTGATTTTAAGTCTTGTAGAATCCTGCAAAATCTTAAAAGTCATGAAAATCCTGCAAAGTCTTTTAAAATTTGCGGGATTTTTTTTAACTAAAAAAATCCTTTAAAATCCTAATCCAATACACCTCCCTAAGATTGATACCTTACATAATTAAAAAAAAAAAAAAAAAACAAATTTGTGGATTAAAAATTAAACGAGGGAAACGTATTTTTTTATATAAAAAAATATTTTATTATCTCCATTAATTTCATTATTTTTCATATGTACCAAACCTAAGCGTAAAAGAACGGGAATAGCATCTTTCAAGTATTAATTACATTTAAAAAAAATTCCCGGAAATATTCTTTCCAACATATTTTATCATCTCGATCACATTGATATGTCATATGTGAGTGTACCACGATTCGCATATTAATATGATTGTCTTTAGTAGATAATATATGTTATTTATAAAAAAAAATGTATATTTTACTTACTACCATTGATAAATAAATCAATCGATACAATAATATTTTAACTTAACTAATAATGTCAAGATGAAATTTCAAATACGCAATTACATTAAGTATTTAAAGAAAAAATTTGTCATCAAAGATAATCTCACCTAACTTAAATAATATTGTATTTTGTGGAGAATATAGGTGGTCAATATATATAAACATTTATTCTCTTACTTTAGCAATACATATTAACCATAATAAACAATTCTATTGGAGCCGTATTTTTTTGGTAACAGTTCTACTTGAGTCGTACACAGCAAAATTATTTCTATTTCATTAAGTATTCGATGCATTTGAGTACTTGAGATTTAAGCATAATACATCATTAATTAAGTTGATTAAAAAAGCAAATGTTTGTTGTTTTGCCTATACCTAGAGTATTTTCCAATCCACTTAGTTAAATTAATTTTGCTCCGAATATTATAGTTGCAGTTGGCCTGAAAGGTTAAAAAAATTCAACACGAAACTTTTTTATTAAATAGATCATCTCTGTAACTTATCTTTTCAAAATTTTAAAAATAATTTTATAAAAGTGTTTAATAAGATGTTTTATTAAACTAAAATACAGTCAAACATGCTCTAATTTTCTTTAAATTAGTTGCGTGCGTATTTGATTAAATCCATTTTAACAAATAATCATTTATTTTTGTTATTTTTTATTTCTTTAAAAATTCTTTAAGAAGCATTTTAACATTAGTAAATAAATAGTGTTATTAGTTTCATATAAATATATATTTTAATGTTATTTTAATTAAATTACATCCATAACTAATTATATTAGTTTACATAAATTGCAGTTTTCATCTTTAATTTTATAATTTAATATTTTGATTATTCTACTTTAAATTAAAGACAAGATATTTAATTTCCTAATTTTAAAATATATAATTTTTAATTTTATTGATAATTTAACATTTATTAATTATTATATTTAGGCGATTTACAACCATTAAAGTGACTTAAAAAGAAATTTAATTTAAATTAATTTTTAATTAATTAAGGTAACAAATAACAACATAAAAAAATAAAACTAAATAAAATAAATGCATATTTCTTAGATTAGGATACTAAATATCTCAATCTCAAAGTCTTATAAATTAATATTAATTAAACATCACTAACATTTATTTATTTTAATTTATTAATCAATGTAGTTAATATTGGTTTAATTATTATTAAACGAGTCTCCAATGCTAAGTTCTTATCCAGCTCTTAAGTTTAAGCTCCCATTACTTATAAGAAACCTACATTGAAACATGCTGACATGACAGGTCAAATTGCTAAAATTTAAGCCCGTCTCTTATATAAGAGACAGTTGCTTAAGAATAAAAAAAATAATTTAATATTTTCTTCCTTCATTGATGCCAACAACTATAATAATTAAATTTTTTAAAAATGAAGTATGAGTAGGGATGGCAAAACGGGCCAGCCTGCCCCGCTAACGTAAAATAGGCTGGAGATGCTGGCCCGTCCCGCCTAAGAAAGGGCTGGCGGGTTGGCGGGCCAGCCCGCATACAAAAATAAAAATAAAAAAATGGAAAAAAAATATATTTTATGTTCAAATAAATTTTTTTTGCTACAAATAAATAAATATAACCATATGAAATTAAAAATGCATACATATTGTACATAATATATATTCAATAAAAACAAATTACAAACTTAGAACAAAATCAAATAGAAATTAGTCCATTTACACCAAAATCAAAACCAAACTATAAACTTACACAACTAAATTTTTTGATAATTCACAAAACAAGTTTAAATACAATTAATTAACTATTTTTATTTTAAGAATATTATAAGCTCTCTTAGAAGAAGATGTCTATACATTTTTTATTGATAATATTAATCATAATATTATAAATAAAAATAAAATAAAAACAAAAATAATTAAATTAAAAAATATATATATGCGGGCCGGCGGGTTGTGGCGGGCCGACCCGCTATTTGGCCCGGAGGGTTGGCGGGTTGAAATGATGAGCCCGGCTCGCGGGCCACAGCCCACTTTGCCATCCCTAAGTATGAGTGATTAAAAAGTGGAGGTGCTTATAAACAACTTTCATTAGAGTAAAAATTATAAAAATATAATAAGTTGCTTATGAGTGACATGACAGCGTGAGATCCATTTAAAATGGATGAGAGTTACTTATAAACAACTCCCATTATAGGTATTCTAAAAAATTTAATTTTTATAATATATAATATAATATCTATATTATTAGTAAAAATAATACAACTTTATATATATATATATCACTCTTTCTTTCTCATATTTTTCATTTAATTTTTTCCTCTATATTTATTTTTAAAATTTCTCACACCTTCTAAATAACCCATATATATTTAACTTCAATCATATTTTATTTATTTATTTATTTTAGTAAAAGAAGAATGGTATCTATTTTATTTAAACATTTTTGTTATCGACCAATTATTTTTTTTCTTTTTTCTTTTCTTTTTTTACTCGTGTGATATTTGATCTAATAAATGTGCTGTAATTTTCAACAATTCGAAAGAGAAAGGGATAAGTATTTTTGGAGAGTATATATATGTATGTATATGGTCGTAAAGAGGGATGCGTTTTACCAATTCTCCCCCTTCGTAGACGCAGCTTCCTTCGCTTTCTCAGTCTCTTCTCTTGGTATGTTTTTCAGATCTTCTAATTCTTCACATTTCGTGTTTCTTTCTCTCCTTCTTCCCGTTAATTGCCACCGACTCCTTTTTCTTAGTGTCAAAATCATTGCTTTATGCCGATTACGTTACGTCCCAATTTTTTTTTGTATGCACGTTTTTTCATAATAGCTTCGATCTGTCGCAAACAAGAGGTTATTGGGTTTCTGAAATTTTATTTGAATGCTGGTAATGCCGCATTTTAGGTTTCAGATTGCATGTTTCACCTAATTCTCACCGTCTATTGAGTCATGGCTGTGAACTCAATTGATGAAGTAATATAGTTTTTTTTTTAATCTTTTTTTAAGTGTGTTATTGGTGTGAGTGACGTAATGTCGGTTTTGCAAGAATGTCTGATCTTCTTTAGTAGGGTAGATTTTTCACCAATTGAGCTTATTTAAGAGAATTCAGTCTAATTCTGCTCTTTTTGTCCTTTTGCTCTCTCTTGATTAAATGGGGTGTTGCATGGCATAATAAATGGGATTGATTTGCTGTTACGCTCGCGTGTTAGGTTTTATTTTGCAGTTTTGTAATTAGTCAGGTGCTGATGTGGAGACAACTCATTTTGGATCTGGTTTTATGCCCTTTATGGATAGTTAATTGCATTAGGTTTCGCCTGTCACTGATACTTCATAATTGAAGTGAGTCCTCTCTCTTTAAAGTCCATGTTTTACATGGACTTAATGCTCCTGATGTATCAAGTTGGTCTGGTGATCGATTGATCTCTTGTGTCTTCAGGTCAAGACTAGGCAAAAGTTCCGAGAAGGGTTCATTAGTTCATGGCCATGGAGCACTGCGTTTCCGCGGGATGGAAACCCACCCAAAGCCCCATGACAGTTACAGAAAATGTTGATGGGTGTTTTGATTGCAACATCTGCTTAGATTTTGCACATGAGCCAGTTGTCACACTGTGTGGTCACCTATACTGCTGGCCCTGCATCTACCAGTGGCTCCATGTCCAAAGTGCTTCTCTTGCACCTGATGAACACCCACAATGCCCTGTTTGCAAGGATGACATATCTCACACCACAATGGTTCCTCTCTATGGCCGAGGCCAGGCCATAGCTCACAGTGACCGTGATGGGAAGGCATCATCCTACAGAGGCATTTTTATCCCACCAAGGCCACCTGCTTTGAGTGCTCAATCTCTTGCGGCAACATCATCTCAAAGTGGTCAACAGCTTCCATATCGCAATCCTTATCAGAGTCAGCATTTCAACCCTCCTTTGTACCAAGAAGAGGATGATGACACATCATCATCACAAATTCTGAATCCTGGTGGCACCAGGGCACCTGGATTCCCCCACCTTGTGGTGGGGATGTTTGGAGACATGTTTTATACCAGAGTCTTTGGCAACTCAGAAAATTTATACACCTACCCAAATTCTTATCATCTGGTGGGAAGTAATAGCCCTAGGTTGAGAAGGCAAGAGATGCAGGCAGACAAATCATTGAACCGGATTTCAATTTTTCTCTTTTGTTGCTTCCTTCTGTGTCTTATAGTCTTCTGAGCAAGCAATTGAGATTATTCTCTATTACCCCGTTGTATAATTTGTAAAGAAGCACGGGGGTAGGCTTGAGAACAAGATAGATTGAGTAATTGTATGTTAGGCTTAGAGGAACTGGTGTTCTTCAACATTTACTACAATATATTAGAGTCGATTTTTCGGAAAGTCACTCTAATATGACTATCGAGATGTTGTATTGTAATGCACCCTATTCTATGTGATGCTGCGGTTATACAAAAATTGGTAACTGAAACTCTAAGATTCACCACCTCAATTGTTTACTTTTTGTTATATTTTTTTTACCCGTGAAGTCGTGAACCTCGTGTATATAGTGCAAAATTTTGAGCACTTGCTTATTGCTCGAAGTGAACATATCAATCCAATCAAGATGATTGAACATAAGTCCATCAATTGGATAATAGGTAACTCAACTCAATTTGACTTTTTTTTTTTTGTGTTTGACTTATTTTTTGGTGTTTTAGAAAAAATTAACTTGGTCTGAGTCATCACAAGTTGATGGATTAAACTAGTTAACTTAATTTAAGAAAATAAAAAAATATTAAATTTTATAAAAAAATACATATTATAATCATATATTTTAAAATTATAACTATATTAACAATAATAAAAAAATGTAAAAAAAAAGAAAGAAAGAATAGACATCAATCACGATTAAGTTGATTAATTTATAATATAAAATAATATCAAAGTTGTTAATAAAATATTAATAAATAATATCAAATTAACATATTAATTATCATAATTTATAATTAGTATATACAAAATTAATTAATGATATAAATATATAATTACATAAATTAACATTTGATGGCTTAAAAAGTTAAAAAAGAAATATATTAAATGAGACAATCCGTTAGTTAACCGAATTATAAGTGGGTTAAACCAAAAAAAAATAATTAAAATGACCTTTTTTTTTTCAACCAACTCAAATTCATAATGAATTGAGTTGGTTCATCCGGTTCACTTTAATAACTCTAGAACATATACTTTCACATTTTGCCAGTTTAATCTGTTGAAATCAAATGGATTTAGTGATAGATCTTTCCTTTCAGAAGATATTTAGGGCTTAAAAGAGAAACAATCTTTCAATTAGGCATAGCAAGTCTAAGAAAAATTTTGTGATGGCAATTAGCAACGGCTGTTATCGGGGCTGATTTTCCTCCCTCTTTTCGTTCATGAAAACCTCTATTTTTTCATTCATGTTATTCAAAGGAGATGAATTTATATTTTTAAAATTTATCTTATTTTTGTTAGGTTTTATCAGGTTTTGATAAATCTGAGGAAATCCATCACTGTTATTTTTACAATTTTAAGTAATTTATACATTTTAAATAAATTCTATTTTAAGTTACTGATTATAATATTATTTAAATAATACATAAAAATTAATACTAAAGAATATTTAACAATTAAATCATATTTTTAACTAAATGTATCATTTTAATTTTTTACTTAATTATTGTTATAATTTAATTTAATTATTAAAATAATCATTTTAAATTTTTAATAAGATTAAAAATAAAATCTTATTTTTAATTTATATATATATATATATATATATATATGTGTGTGTGTATTTATTATTAGAAATTATATATTAAAAATTCAATGGGAGAGTTGCAGCAGAAAAGTTATATCCACACGTGCTTATATAAATTCGAATTTAATTATCAAGCCTATTTTATACTTGCATAATCATAAATATAAATAGATATTTGATGTGAAAATCTTTTTCATCTCGAGAATTATATATTTTTTGAAAAATATGTTTGTTGGACATGTCATAAATATGTTTGATATGTCTAATAAAGTATATTTTTGGAAAAACATTTATACTATATTACTAATATATAATATATTACTAATAGATAAAAAAAAAGACTCTTTTTAATAATTATTTTTGGTTTTAGACTATTATATCTTTCTATTATTTAAAAAATGAAAAATCAATAATTCTTTTAATAATTATCATTTTTGAATAATTATTTATCATATTATTTAATCTCAATTTTAATTTTATAAGTAAAATATAGAAATATGGAATATCCACTAATAATTATAAAAGAATCCCTTTAATGAAAACTTTTAATTTCCACGTCCTCGAGTGAAAAAGTTTTAGTGAAAAGCTTATTAAAATTTTGGTAGCAAATATAGGAATTCGATATTTCCAAGTTCCGACCTAGAATGGCACCGCCAAACATTGTGGGCAACTGACAAGCGGTGAGAGGTGACCCCTGTTTGGATAATTTACCCAAGCTGAGAGTATTATAAGGGTTTGATTCAATCCAAGAAATAAAAAAGTGAGAATTTTGTAATGGATAAGATTTGCGTCCAGAAGCAATGACCTGTTTAGGGTCCTCCATTATTAAGTATTAACAACTAGTTCTGAAATTACATAACATAATCTACCTTCTCAATGAAAGCTTTATGAGTTCATTTGGAAGTTTCAAGCTGTTAACTTCGGGCCAGCTCGCAAGTAATGCCTTGCACTATCTATTAGAATACCAGGTAGTATTAAACATATCACAATTATAGTGGAAAAATTTATCATATCGATACATAAGTAAATATTATATATTTTTTATTTATATATTTATTTAAAATTATTAAAAAGTCCTTTTTCTTAAAAATTATTTGGATTTACCAGCCGCTGTAACGACTCGTTGTGATCCCTACAGTTAGTGAAATCACACCACTAAGCTAGTTAACTAAGATAAATTATTAAGCTGGATAACATATATGCATGTAAAAGAAGTAATAAAAGAAAATTTTAATATCTACATCCAATCATAACCATAGGTATATACAGTCATCCAAAAGAATAATATTCTAGCACCGGTTAAGTACACCTAATCAGTTACCCCCAACAATAACTCTAACACTAGTACAAAAACATCCAATGCCTTGGCAGAAGCTGCACCAACTTCAACTTAATCCTGATCTGCTCTCATATATAGTATAATCATCGCTTCCATTCACATGGAAACAAAGCTAGAGTGCAAATAATCAGGAGGCAAGTTCGTTTGGTCTCTCAGACGAAGAAAAGGCTAAGACACTCATGCTACGTGGGTATCGCTGGATGAACCTATGAAGAGTGATGCATTTCTCTGACACCCCTGCTGCCTTTCTTAGAAGAAGAAGAAGAGGTGAGCCAGACTTAGATGCTCTCAACAAGGAGTACTTTATTCGTTGCATAAAGATATACATTATGAAGGTTTTAAATGCAAGATATTTAAGAAGCAAATCACATTGTCAGTACAAATATTTAAGTTCTCAAGGAAGTACAACCATCTTTAGCATGTTTATATATCAATTGGGAAACTGCAAACCATGGTTTGGGTGGTTACAAGAAACAAGGTTTCGCATAAACCATGGTTTGGAACTTTCCATACTACAAACCAAACACACTGTATTTTGCCTCTATCTAGAACTAGATTGGACTAGACTGTTTCTAATATCATATATAAATTGGAAATATTGAGCAATAGAAAATATCATGAACAGCCACAAGTAGTGAAGTATAAAATAAGGGTAGGAGTAGCATATAAATATGACAAGTCAAAAGAAGTAAAGAACTAGTAAACTTAATTAACAACATATTAACTACTTAATAGATTCTCTAAAGAAAAATCTACCATTTGGAAAGCACACATCTAAGACAAATATGACAAAGGTTGCTAGTAATTTCTATCCTGCTGGTCCAATTTCTGTGAGGATTTCTTTTTTCAAGCAGTTGTTCTATTTCTATGATTGCATAATCATTTCAACGGTCCTATTTCATTCCTAGCACTAGAAATGAAAAAGACAGAGGGAAAGTGATATAATATAGTCAATGTAAGGGAAATGACGAAATTAGCTCCTAAATAGTAAGCCTCAGATGGATTCTCGCTATTATACACTTAAATAATGACTTGGTTAAATCAAGAATCACTAGATATCCTTGCCATGCTTTCCTTAATACTCCTTTACATTTCCATCACTATACTGAAAGTTGAAGATCCAATGATCAGTTTTCTAGCATCAATTTCAATACCAACAAAGAACAATAAAAGTTAAACAACTTCTCCTTAGAGACCAAATTTTCATGAAAGTTGTAATATAGTCATTAAACACTGCCATTTTAGACACTCTCTTCATTGAAAATTTCAAAGATGCATTTGGAAGCATCATAAAGACTAAGGTAGTACCATTTTAATTGAAAAGAAAAATACATTTTCAAATGATTATAATACAGACCAAATTATGGTACACGGGCACCAAAAGGTAGGTTCCAAATCTGAGACTAAACACTAAATAGAACAAAAAAAAGGACCTATTTTAAGATTTTGAATATCAGCAAATGAGACAGTCATATAGTTACTCATACTCATTGGTAGAGGAAAGACAGATACAGAGAGTATAGAAAAACATTCATGAGGCAAAGAAAGGATTGGAGTTATGCGGGCAAAGCCACTGAGGAGAGATTGATACATGTAATAATTGGAAAATCAAAGATAGGATAGAAAATAGAAAACCTTAATACTTCGATTGAATTAATGGAAAGTGATAGAACCAACTAGAATAGGATGAAATTTTAATGTGTTTCATTGTTTGGATCATTTATGTTATAATAAAATAAAATAGATCATGATGGAATGAATTCCAATCTAATCCATCTAAACCCTTAATTTTCTCTCTCCCCCAATGCTGACTCGGCTTTGTGCCGAATATTTCCCACGTCGCTGAAAAGAAGGGCCCTGAGTTGGTTCACGAGATTGCCGAGCTCTTCCATCGACTCGTTCAACAAGTTGTCATCTCAATTCACTCTTCAATTCGCGACGAGCAAGCCGTACAAGACGCCCTATCCTCTTCCACTCTCTTAGCCATTGGCTTAGTGATGAGTCTCACATGAAGCTCCATGGATGGTCCTCCATCAAAATAAATCAACTTGTACAAGCATAAGAATAAGTATCTATGCTATATCATCATCAAATTCATCAATCATTTCCATACAACTATCATGCAATAAATGCAACTCATGAAAAAAGCCAATGCATATCAATCATCTAATGCATCATCACGCATTTACCTAGGAGATCTCCCTAACAACAGAGCAGTATAAAAGATATCTCATCCTACCGAAATCACCTCAACCGCTCTTACGCTTAATGCGCCCTACTGGGTCAACAACAAATTGGGATATCAAATCCCCCAGGTGTTTACTCAGATAGTGTCATTTACACAATTGGAAGTCTAGTTCCACCGTCAGGTATAGTACAA